TGAGATAGTTCTTCCTAGCCGTAGAGAACCATCTTTGTGTGTTAGGTGTGTGTTTGACCATGTAGGCTGATCTCCTAAGGTGGGAGATGCCTGAGTGTAGTGGAGGCTGATAGGTAGGGCTAAGAAGCTCTAGTTTAGAGAAGATGTATAGAAGCGACCTCCTCATGGAGGAGGAAGCATTCTATTTATAGGGGACAATTAGGTAAAGGTAGAGTTAGGTCAGGCTTTGGGCCATCCAACTCAGGTCCAACTAGTAAGGAGCTGGGAAAGACTACCCCGGGGGCGCCAGACGAGCGCCGGGCACGAGACAAGGCTGACAGGCATGCTACAGGTGAGCAATAGGCAAGGCTGGCGCGATAGGTCTTGACATCTGGGCTATGATAATAGGCCACACGTCAACAACAACCTACATTGGTGCCTTCGACCCACAAGTACAATGAGGAAACTCACCTCACAGACTGAAATGATAGTTGGACCAAACACTATTCTGAATACTGCCTCTACTGATCACCTACACAAATACCAGGGCTATAAACTCAAACTACCACTCAAAATACCCAAAATGCCCCTAGATCACATTTGGTCAAAATCTTGGTCAACGGTCAAAGTCAGAAAGTCAAAAAGTCAGGGGAAGTGTAAGCAGACTGAGTACCACCCGCGTACTCAGTCACTACACTGGGTGTAGTGCCTACGCGCAACGTACTCCGTATGGATCCATTCTTTCTCATTAAGTGCTTATTCCTTAAAGACTTTTCATCCAAAACTAGATCTAAACCCAAAACATCGTTCTAAGTCATGAAGTTTCCACCTTTATGACTTTCCATGGCTAGTAATGGTCCAAAAACTAAAACCCTAACTTACTATTCCATTAAAACATCATAACTCTTGCATAGAAAGGATAGAAGGACAAAGATCACATTTTTATGGTTCTTAGCACCTAAAAACATCTGAAAGGACAACTCTTATGGTTTAGAGTAAAACATACTCATGAACACCAAGATTATGGGACTAAAAGGCATAAAAACCTACGAACTAACAAGATCCAAAGAAAACATGCATCGAGTTCCAAGCTTTATACCTTCAAATGATGTTAGAGGATGAGATGCTTCTGGATCTAGGTTGTCTTGAGCTTCCAAGATGATTTAACTTCCTTCTTCTTCCTTCACGAACACCAAAGATACATTCTCAAGCTCAAAAAGGCTCACACAAATGATTAGGGTTTGCAAGGGACGATTTAGGAGATGGAGGCTGATGAGGGAAAATGTATTGAGGAGATAATGATGTTTAAATAGGGCTCAAACCCTAAAAATTAGGGTTTGACCCCCAGCCACGTACGCTCGACGTATGCTTGTGTACGCACAACATACTAACATAATACACGTTCCTTATTAAATGAGCTACGGGACCAATTTGCAACAAATTTCATTCTATGGGTTGAAATGGAAAATACCTGGCGTCTGGGTGTTACATCCTAACTATTACAACATGACAAAATGTCCAATCTATATATCTATTATAATAGTGAACTTTTTTTATAATATATTCATTTTAAACTCCCACTACAACTCAAAAGTCTTTTTAACTAAAAATTAATTAATAACTACAACTCAAGAGTTTTATAACTTATGTGTACATACATGATTAATTATGTGTTCTTATGATTTCTATTTTAAAATAAGTAATAACTACAAGTGAAGAGTGTCTTAACTTATGGTTAGTAAGTGCTAATTATTATATTTATTTATTTAATATAAATATATAAATAGTTCACATATGTAGATGAAATTTCTTGAGTTTAATGCATAAGATGGAGAAAAAAATATGTTTTGAGAACACTCAAAACTATATATTGTGGTGCATGTATTCATATTGAATTAGGAAGAGGAAGACACAAATTTATATAAGTGGAATAATACAATTTTTGTTTATATTATTTGAAAATAAAATGAAACAAAGTTTATGGTTATTTTTTTTCTATTTTACCGCATGAAATCGCTTATATTATATTTTTCTACACCAAATGAGATTCACTAAAAAATGATCCACAATAATACGATATTCACATATGATATTTGTACTATTGTGTGTGTGTGTGTCTATATATATATATATATATATATATATATATATATATATATATATATATATATATATTTTCACTGTAGTATTTCACAAATATTATTAAATATATTGTTGATGTTGGTTGTATTATCATGTTGAACATTAGATTATGTGTTTTTGTTCGAGTTTTTTGATGAAAATCTATTATCTATTATCTATCTATTATCCATTATCTATTATATTTATCTATATTATAAAATATGTCATTTTCCTATCATCACATTCATTTGAAACCCCTAACTTTTCAATTTATTTTCTAATTAATACATTAAATTCATTATTATTCTATTTTTAATATTAATTCTTTATTTTCAAGTCATGTTTTTTTAAATAGTCAAAAAGTTTAAATATAAGACATATATCAAAAATGCAAAATTAACAAAAAATATATCAAAAATTACTTTTTATAATAATAACTTTTTCAAAAAAGAGAGATTTAAAACTATTTAAAATATTGAAAGTTTCAATATAATTTTAAATATAGAACCTACATCAAGAACATCAAGAGGTTTGAAAGTTAATTAAAAGTAATAAATATTTAAATATAATGTTAAATCTAATAATACATGGAACTGTCAATTTCACTCGCAACCTATGGATATATTCTATTAAAACGTCATATAAAAAAATATGTCTATATAAACTGATTAGCCATTCATAATTAAAAATAAGTATAAATCAAGAAATAAGTTTACTCATGTACAACCTACGGATAGCGACTATAAATTAATTTCAATGTTGCTATAGGTACAACGTATGAGATCAACTCGAGACGATGAACATAAAAGCTCCCAGAAGAAAAAAAAATGAGATCAACTCGAGACGATGAACATAAAAGCTCCCAGAAGAAAAAAAAAAGTTTTATAACGAGAGATACATTGACAAACATATAAGGAGCACTTTCAACAAGACTAAACAAATCTAGTTTTTGGTTTATGTCTTTTTTTTCTTTCTTTAGCTTCTAATAAACTTGTATTGATTACAAGGATTTTTACCTTTTAACTAGGGAAATTATGTATGGAAACTTTCATTTAAATTACTATAATATTGATATTTGTTTGTCGTTTTACATTGTCCATTTACGTTTACATTTATTTAAACAATACTTGTGAGTCAAAATCTTAAAAAAAAAAACCGACATGATAAAGACAAATTTAATGTGACAATAAGGTAAACTTAGTCTTGGTAAATGAAATTGTGCGTCGATACAACACTAATGGTTACGATTGCATTGGTTTGCGATATCTACATTATGATCAATAACCACATTGAAAACTATATGTGTGTTTGAAGGATAAAAAATGTTATGGTAATCAAAAATTTGTGTGGCTAAATACTAAACAATAAGGACGATGCAAATTAGTTGTGTGTCTACACTGATTTTATAGTCATGCTTTAATTTAATATAAATGATTAAAAACTAAATAATATTATCAACGTAGATAATTGTGTGTCAAAATCATAACATCTGTCACTTATTTCTACCTTCATATGACTGTATGTTCTACAATAGTCACTTTAAGAAAAACAGCATGTAACTATATGACATTTATGACTACGGTTTAAGTATGTATTTGTGACTACAATAAAAACAATAGTCACAGTCTGCAGTTTTTTAATGTCTAAATGATAAAACCGGTCATACTTAGACCAAATTGTTATGTTCATAAGGCGATATTGGCCACTATTATATATACTTTTGTGTCTATAAAACAATTACAATCATTTTAATTGATTTGCTATGCTGAAAAGATATAAAATAGTCACACTTACAACTCTTTATATGTTTGAATGATAGCAACTGTCATGATAACTTATACGTATGTGGCTATAAGTTATAAGATAACCATAGTTAAAAAAATAGTATGTATCTTTAAAATACTTTTGGTCATTAAAAGTATAATTTCGTGTGACCATTTTGGGAAGATGGTCATGATTTGCTTAATTATGTGTATCTAAAAGATTGTTAATAGTCATAATGAAAATTTTTTTGTGTGACAAATTATTAGCAAAATGTCATAGTGAAAATAAATTCATGTGGAAATTTGTTGAACATGGTCATGTTTCGCTTAATTTTGTGTCTCTAAACGATAGTAAATAGTCATGAATATTTTTTTGTATGACCACTTATTAGCAATACGCCACAATAAAAATAAACGCATTTGACCATTCTATGAAAGATAGTCACTAAAATAACTAGAATATGTGTCTAGAAAAGGGTTTACAGCCACAATATTTGATAAAATAATAGATTACAACAACAAAAATCTCTACCATATAGCCACACTTTTATGCTATGATCACAAGTTTTTATATGATACAACCACTAAATTTAAAAGTGGTTGTATGATGCCTAAAATGACACGATCATTGGTGACACTTGCGATGAAAAAAAAAAGTGTGACTATAGGCATATGGTCACGATTTCTTGGTGTGACCATAGCCAATTTTTGTATTAGTGTTTATGTTATCTTTTATTTTAAAATAATCAAAATATTTTATAACAAGTTAGTGTTAGATTATTAACTCAAAATTAGTAACAATAATATATTTTTAATAATAATATATTCGTCGATATCTTTACTTATATTTGCGATACGTACTAATATTCGGGTTTAATAATATAAGTCACGTAAACAAGTAATATAAGTCAAGTAAATAAGAAACATACAATTTGTATGAATCATTTTTACCGGGCAATGCCATATCCATCCAATATTTTATGTACATAAGACTTAATTATATAAAAAAGAAAGAAAGGCCTGTAACACTTATAAAAAAAATAATAAGTAGAGGCAAATTCCACTTGTAGCATTCTTTCCTCAAACGTGTCATTAGAAGGCAGTGATTTTGTACGTGTCACAAATAAGTGAATAACCATGACACTCAGTCCCTCACCACCTATCCTTTTCTCCACGTGCATGCCATGCAAACCTACCGATTCACTATATAGAGCAACCTCGTACTCCTTATCGATCATCACAACCAGTAGAAAAAAGATAGTAAAAGATACCACAAACACAATGGCAAAACTTGTGATCCTTGCACTCGCCTTCACGGCGATCGTAGCATTCGCTAAGGTCTCCGCCTACACAACAACCACCATTACCACGATAATGGAGGACGTGCCAAGTGGCTCACAGTCGCAGTCACAAGGGCAACGTCGCCACCAAATTCAGGGGCAGCAGGTGAGCCACTGCCAGATGCACATCACCGAGGGATCCTCTTTCGAGGATGATCTGATCAGGATGCCAGTGGTAAGGCCGAAGCAACAGGAACCACACCTTCAACTATGCTGCCAGCAGCTCCGGAACGTGGAGGAGGAGTGCCAGTTTGAGGAGATCAATGAGGCTTTTGAAGAAGCATAAAAGCAGCAGCAACAACAGCAGCAAGGTGGACGACGTGGAGGGCAAGGACAGCAAGGTAGAGGACAGTTGGTGCAACAAATGTTGAGGATGGCTGGGCAGATACCCAATCAATGCATCTTGCAAATCCAGCAGTGCCGAATCCAGCAGGGCCGATGGTTCTAAGTTCATGTATAATATGAATGTATCAAGTAATAATGATTGGCATTTCTTGCCATTTGGCTTCTTTTGCTTAGTGAGTTCCTTGTAAGTCGTAATAAAATCCTAAATACTTGAAGTTTCTTCCCGTACTAAAATGGGTGAAGATTGAATCCAAATATTAAATTATTCACCAGATTTTAAACTTTTAAATATATAACAAATATTATTAAGACAAAACTTCAAAAATGGTCCCTGTGGTTTTCGAAAATCTAAAGTTTAGTCCCTAATCTTTAAAAACCTCATAGATGGTCCTTGTGGTTTCAAAACTTTTAACAAATGATCATTTTCGCTAACTCCGTTAGCTTTTGGCCGTTAAGTGAAGGACAATTTTGTCATTTCACTACCACAGGGACCATTTATGAAGTTTAAAAAAGAACAAAAAAATATAATTATTTAATAGTAAAAGGTTTCTCTCCTAGTTAGAGATCCACCAACCACCATAATTACCGGCATCCTTCACTTCCGTCAACCACCATCAACACTGCCATTCACCTCTGACTACCACTACCACCACCATCGATTACCACTTCACCAAATAAAAATCGTACCTGAAATCATTGGTCAAAACCATATATGAAATCAAGCTATCAAACCTGAAATCAAAGCTCAAAACCATACCAAAATAATACATGGAATCAAAGCTCAGAACCGAACCTTATAATCAAAATCGTAACCGAAAACAATAAACATCCAAACAACAGAAGATGAAACTCGCTTGACACTAAACCTACGAAATACATTCTTTGATGAATATCCTCTCTCATATCTTAATCTCATGAACTATTCAGCAACAAAGACAGAAGAAAACAACTTATATGATGAACTTGAAGAATTACGCATGTCTTCCACTTCGTTCAAGAATTTCATGAAGCAAACCATTAACCAAAACAAAACACCAAATATACACCATCAAAAATTGGTAGACCAATCGACATACTAAATCTGAGCTATGGTTCTCACCTTGCTGATTTAGGGACACCTGATTTGGGCATGTGAAGTCAGTGGGATTTTTTGCCCTAAATACGAGAATACTCCTGGTTCATGGAATCTCACATTGCCGATTTTGACCAAATTGAGAATTCCTTGCTCGTTTGACTCAAATAGAGAAGAGAAAGAGGGATGAAGGTACGATGAGATGTGGTGGAAGTTATCGATTTCCACCATCTTCTTCACTGGTCAATTTCGTTGGTGGCCTTCCAGGAGTAAATGGCTTCTTCCCATGTTCTTTCCTATGGCTAATGCCATCGATCCAAAATCACTGAAGGAGAAATCCGAGTAGGGTAATCGTACGAGGGGGAATGATTAATCGTCGAGATCTGAAGGCGATTTGAAGAGGTCGGGATGGGAGATTGCTGCTATTAGGAGTGATAAGTGATGAGATGAACATTTGTGATATCTTGTGGAATCTTGATTGCTAGATAGAAAAGCCTTATGGAAGTTTGTTTTCAGATCAAATGAAAAAATGGCACTAGGAACGAGAGAGAGAGAGAGAGAGAGAGAGAGAGAGAGACCATTTAGTATTAAATAATTATATAATTATATATATATATATATATATATATATATATATATATATATATATTTTAAAATAAGCCAAAACTTCATAGATGGTCCCTGTGATTGTGAATGATAGAAATGCCCTTCACTTAACGGCCAAAGCTAACAGAGTTAGCGAAAAGGACCATCTGTTAAAAGTTTTGAAACCACAGGGACCATATGTGAGGTTTTTAAAGATTAGGGACTAAACTTCAGATTTTCGGAAACCACAGGGACCATTTTTGAAGTTTTGTCATATTTTACCTACGGTAATTTTCCGTTCCGTAGGTAATTACCGATGAAATACCGACGAAATACTATATACTTATGGAATAGGATGCCCTATTTTAGTGATGAAATTGTAACAGAATAAATAGCTACGAAATAGCAACGGAAGCAAATCCGTCGGTAATTATCGACATAATAGCTACAGAATAGCGACAAAATATGTGTCGTCAGATTAGCTATGAAATTACTACGGTTCTAAAAATATGAATAATAGTATAAAATGAATAATAGTATAAAATATATATAGAATTATTAATTATATACAAAATTATCACCTTAAGTAACGCCTTACAAACGACATGACTTGCTACGATTCGTAAAAGCATGAGGTTTAACATTGCCGTCAATTCATGCTTAAGGTGATTTAGAACCTTGCGAAATATAAACAGGTTTTATAATTTCCATTATTATTATTATTATTATTATTATTATTATTATTATTCATTCGAGTATTAAAACATAGTTTTATATGGTTCGTTTTTTACATATTTACCAAGCGTATTGACATAAATTATTGTATTACAAATACATGCACCCATATAACATGAACAAAAAAAATCGAAAAAACTATACCATACGAATAATGGAAAATTATATTAATAGTACTAATAATAATAATATTTAACACATGAATAAGCGAAAGAAAAACTACGTGTGTATATGTATGTATATGTGCATGTGTGTATATCTATATGTAAGGTCACACATTATGATCTGATAAGTCAAACCTCACACGCTGTCCACCAGGGCCAACGCCAACATCTGCATGATCAGCGTCAACGTGAATTCAATGATCTTAGTGATCATTTGTATATTAGGAAGTTATTCTTTGTATATATAGAATAGATGTTTGATCCGTAATCTTAGTGATTAGTATCAGACCTTTTAGTATCAGACCTTTACTTAGATTAGTTACATCCCCAAAATAATGAGATCTTCATTTCTGTAATCGTATAGTGTACTATTTGAGGAGCAACTTTGGGTATAATCACCTTCTGAGGATTCGACACGGCGTGTTGGAGGCACCAACACGACGTGTCTAGATAAGAAAAGTGCGGCTTTCATCAAGACCAAAACGGTGTGTTTGTGCCATAACACGACGTATTGGCGGCTAGTGGAGAAAACCCTAATTTTTAGGGTGTTACACCCTATATAAAGACCTTAAGTCCTTATGAATGGCCTCCTTACCAACCTCCATTGTCACTAATACCCTAAAATTGATCTTTAAATCTCTTGGTGGTGTTCTTGAGCTAGTAAGAAGTTCTTGGTGCTCATTTTTGGTGTTTGTGAAGGAAGAGGAGATTTTGAAGTTGCTTTGCTTGGAGAAAAGGCTTTGGATCCAGAATCATCATCATGTAGGGAAACTTTCTGAGGTATCAAGTTTGCATCTTGTCTTGTATATGTTTAGATCTCTTCATAGTTAGTTTTTTGTGCCTTTGGTCCATTTTTGGGTTAATGGATGAGTTAGGTCGTTTAAGGGCTTGTTCATTCAGATCTGAGTTTGTTTTGCTATCCTTGAGCATAAAGGTTCAAGCTTTGTGAGAGATTTGTTGTTATGCATGAATTAACTCAATTATTAATTCCTTTTTAGCTTAAGAGCTTCATTTAGAGATGCATGAATGTAAAGTTGGCAACTTTATGTAGTTTTCCAGCTCAAGGAAGTCAGATCTATGTTTTAATTAAGTGCTTATTGGTCAAGCCCTTGCACTATTAAGCTTATGGATTGAGTCTTGAACCTTTTTTGGGTAGTCCCAATGGATAAAGGTGGAAACTTTATTCTTCTGGACCACATGAGAGGCTAGATCTGAGCTTTTGAGCTCTTGGTATCAGAGAAAACAACTTACTGTATTAAGCTGTTGAATCTCGGTCAAACACGGCGTGTTTGCAAGCCAACACGGCGTGTTGACTGTGGTTTTCGCGATTATCTGGATGACTGAAGAACAGGACGTGCTTAGTCAACATGGGTTGTTGACTTTGACTTTGACCAAAAGTTTGATTAGGGTTGACCTTGGGATGATTTGGGCCTTGGCTTTGGGGCCAAGTTATGAAGAGGGTAAAAAGGTCTTTGATCATAGTTTGAACACTTAGTGTAGGTCAGTCCGATTATGGATGGATGTTTATCTTGTGATTGATTGCGCGGGGATTCTTGCGAGCCAGCACCCGATGATTCTTTCCGTGAAATTCGGTAGTGTGAGATGAGTTTTCCTCACTGTACTTACGCGTCGAAGACACCAAGGCTGCTCCATTGGTTTGATAACCTGATATTTGCTGATATGCTGAGTATGGAATAGATATGCATGATTATGCTATTTATTGATATGCTAGTCTGGTAGATCGGTAGGACTACCGATGATTATGTCTGCATGATTATCTTTATATGTTGTTATTTGTAGACATATTGTGTTGGGTTGAGGTCGTATTGCTTTGTTCTGTAGCCAACAAACCCTGAAGCATTCCAGATATGAGCTGAGGGCTGGGTGGGGCATGTCAGACTCATACTGAGGGCTCAGATGCATTCCAGATACGAGCTGAGGATCGAATGGTATGCCAGACTCGTACTGAGGGCTTAAGGGTATTGGAGCATTCCAGATATGAGTTGAGGGTCGGGTGGGGCCTGCCAGTCTTATACTGAGGGCTCAGGTGCATTCCAGATACGAGCTGAGGACCGGGTGGTATGCCAGACTCGTACTGAGGGTTTAAGGGTATTGAAGCATTCCAGATATGAGCAGAGGGCGGGGATGGGGATGCCAAACTCATACTGAGGGCTCACTAGCATTCCAGATATGAGCTGATGACCGGTTGGTATGCCAAACTCGTACTGAGGGCTGAATATTTGTATTCTAATCTGATTACTGATTGGAATAGGTAGTAAGCCCAGACATAAGTTGTGGGCCTCGAGGGCAAGCCAGACTTATGATGTGGGCTCAGGAGCAAGCCAAATATGAGATATGGACCAGATAGGCAAGTCAGAATCATAC